GGCGCAAAGCTTGCTCCGGTGTTTTGGGTCGTTGGCTTCCTGTAAGGTCCAGTCCTCGTTTTTTTTTATGAAGCGTCGTTCAGCAGTCGGCAACAAACACTTCTTATAAATTTTAAGCATTTTCGGAGCATTTAAATTCTATGTAAACAGATGTAATGTTCCAAAAGCCTGTTTCAAAAAGCAGCCCCAAAGATGAACTTTTAAAGGGTGTTTAACAGTCCGTTGTATTAATTTATTGGTCAAGGTTGACCAGGAGCGTCGGATGGCAGTATATCCCCAAACAGAAGCTTCGTCCATAAAGATCACGTTGTTCCAATCTCGATCCAAATTCTCTTTTGCCCAAGCGAGTCTATTCGTCACACATTTCTCGCCTAACAGTGGTTTCTTCATTGTGCTTCGATGTTTGAGGTTATGCGCAAGGAGATGGATTCGTATAGTTGTATGTGATACTTCTATACCCTTCTGTTTTAATTTTGCTGCTCCTTGTTGCAATGTTAATGTCGGGTTCCGCTTAAACAAATTCACAATTTTTTTCGGCATATTCGGCATCACTTTGCCTATCGAGCCACGTTCTGGCAAGTCATCGACATTTTTGATCTTCTCACATTGCAGAACACACTTAGCGACGAACGATTTTGTCTTTCCCATGTATTTAGCAGCTATTGTATATGAAATTTTTAGTCCTTTGCGGTGGGGACAAAGGAACACAGCCTCGTAGTGCGATGCGTATGCGGCACTCATGGCGGTTAACGTGTTTCTTAGGTTAGAGTTCGACGCCAACTCAATCTTTTGTGACAAAGCGTTCACGACAAAGATTTCATCTATCGGTTCACAAAATACTAGGACGATATTTCAAGCCAACTGCCATTTATGCCGTACACGATCTTACTTTACTTTACAGACTGTATGTTATGTACAGATGAATTTGACTGTTCTGGATTCAATATTTCTTTAGTAATGTCCAGGCCCTTCACATGTAGATTGTTGCAAGATGTATGCAAAATGTGACGATCACCGAGAGAAAGAGTACAATGAGGTTGGCCGTGTGTTTTCTTATTATAACAAAACCTTCCTGAAGCTTTAAACGCTCTTAAGCAACTTGATCATCGCTGATTTGGAGAAGCCTAACTGCCGGGAGATTTCTCCATGCCTTTGTTTGCGACTCTCTATGATAAATTTTCATTGTCGTTCGTCCATCTTCTAAGATACTACTTAACTAATGTTTACAGCTGGGCTGAATTAACGACAAAATACATAACCATAACATATAAACAAAGGTGATCCACGATTTTGGGACAATTAATATAGTGTTTTGAATATCATAATATATGTTGCCAAATTTTCTCATACATTACGCACAAAGTATATATGATACCAGCTACCTGTTGCAAAAATGAATCTAATTTCTTTACTACAAAGAAAGTTATGCTAAAACATCCTAAAAGTGATATATTTTTGGTCGGTACTGTACATAAAATTAAAAATACAAGAGTATATAAATATATATAAGTATATAAAATATGCGATATAAAAAATATGTAACGACATATAGTATGTATCAAAACATATCACAATATATACAAGGTAGCAATACATAAGACAGTTATATTTCGTTTGAATATTCCGCCTTTGTGAACAACGTAAACAGCTCTTTCCGAAGATTGTCTTCGGATCGTTCTTCGCTCAGACAGCACTTGCTTAACAACTGTGTAAGGGTTTAATTCTTATCATAACCGATCACCGCGCGTAAGTTTATGATTGGTGACTCGCGACGGTTACTTCATATGTTTCCCTCTTGAAGAAAGTGTTCAAACTGTTTCGCAGCCGATTGTAGCTGACGCGACCTTTTCTGTTTGTCTGATATCTCGCTTTTGGATTCTGTGAATATCACAGCTACTAATAATTTCAAATAGTCGTTCGTCGATCTTACAAAGTGCACATAAAATCTTTCAAAGGTACTAATAATAAGTCGAATCACGAAGAAAAATAAAGTTGAGCGGTGTAGTTATACAAACAGATTATTGCGCCGAGCAAGTTTTAGAAGTCAAAATCTCCATTAGGAGAGAATCGATAGAGAGAAAACGGAACAACTTTGAAGAGCGATCCGTGCGGCAAACGTTAAAAAAAGGGAGTAGCATTAAAAAGTGGATATGTCCTACGAATGTATTTCCTGCGGACAAAGGTTCAGTCAGATGAATTTCACAAAGCACCTCATTGAGGACAAAGAATGTTGGATAAAAGTATGGGACCATGGCAACAATAAAACCAACGATGAGGTAATCTTGTAAAAGTATATTATACTAAAGCGTAAAGACAATTATACATGTCGCTAGTCCATAGTAAGACTGTAACTTTGTTTATAATGTGCAGAAAAAACTGGAAAGCCATATACGTGTTCATTCACAAAAACAAGAAGAAAGTAATATTATAGGCTCGGAACCATTTTTAAGCAGTAACACGTATGGCATACATTCCAGCACAAGCAGCGGCATTCAAGAGCGCAAAAATATACTTTACGAATATGACGATTACAACCAAAAGTTTTGTAGAGAGAATGAGTTGACGAATCACTTAACGCAGAAACACAAAGGTGTAATGCACCAATGCGATCATTGCAACAACGAATTCAACGATGAGGTAAATCTGCAAAAGTGTTAAACATTGTACAAAACGAAGACGGTTACATGTGCCCTCAATAAAGCCGTAATTTTCTTTACAATCTGCAGAAACATCTGATGAGCCACATACGATGTGATCATCCAAACATCCAGGAGGTAACTAATAGTGCGAAGCCGGGGCCTTCTTGGGAGGATGATCAGTGCGGCAAACATTCTAACAGAAATAGTTGCATTGAAAACAATAGGCCTTACGAATGTGATGTGTGTAACCAAAGGTTTCATAAAAGATATGGATTAATATATCACTACAAGAATGCCCACCGACGTTTAATGTACCAATGTGAACATTGCATATACGGAACTAACGATGAAGTAAATCTGCGGAAATATTATACATTGTACCAAAATGCAAAGACCGTTATATGTGTTCTCAGTAAGGATATAACCTTTTTATAATCTGCAGGAAGATATGAAGAGCCACATACGTGATCATTCTAACAACCAAGGAGAAAGCATTATTATAGACCCGGAACCGTCTTTGGAGAATGACCAGGGCGTCAAACATTCTAAGACAAACAGCTGCATTGAAAACATGCTTCACGAATATGATGTTTGCAACCAAATGTTCCGTGAAATTAATGAGGTGACGACGAATCACTTAATGAAGGACCACAAATATTTAATGCATCAATCTGAATATTGCAACTACCAAACCAACAATGAAATAACTGCTAAAATATTATACATTATAGGAAAACGCAATGGTTTTATGTGTTCTCAGTAAGACTGTAACTTTCTTTGTAATCTGCAGGAGCATCTGAAGAGCCAGGTACAATGTGTTCATCTTAACATCCAGGAAGAAAATAATAGTGCAGAGCCGGGACCGTCTTGGGAGAGTGTCCCGGGCGTCAAACATTCTAAGACAAACAGCTGCATTGAAAACATGCTTCACGAATATGATGTTTGCAACCAAATGTTCCGTGAAATTAATGAGGTGACGACGAATCACTTAATGCAGGACCACAAATATTTAATGCATCAATCTGAATATTGCAACTACCAAACCAACAATGAAATAACTCTGCTAAAATATTATTCATTATAGGAAAACGCAATGGTTATATGTGTTCTCAGTAAGACTATAACTTTCTTTATAACCTGCAGGAGCATCTGGAGAGCCAGGTACAATGTGTTCATCCAAACATCCAGGAAGAAGATAATAGTGCGGAGCCGGGACCGTCTTGGGAGAGTGATACATATGGCAAACATTCCAGCAGAAACAGCTGCAGTGAAAACAATATGCCTTACGAATGTACTGTTTGCAACCAGAGGTTTTATAGAACGTTAACATTGACATATCACTACAAGAATGTCCACCAACGTTTAATGCCCCATTGTGAACATCGCGCCTACGAAACCAATGATGTAGTATCTCTGCAAAAATATTATACATTATACGAAAGCGCAAGAACGATTATATGTGTTCTTAGTAAGAGTACAATTTTGTTTATAATTTACAGAAAAATCTGAAGGACCACGTACGACGCGTTTATCCTAATGTCCAGAAGGAAAGTAATAGTTCAGAGCCGGGACCGTCTCGCGAGAGTGAGCCCTGCGCCAAATATACCAGCATAAATAGTAACAAACAAAAGTACAAATTAGATTGGAAATGTCAAGTTTGTAATCAAGAGCACTCTGACAACCAAAAGTTGATGCATCACCTAGCAGAAGTCCATGGAATTCAGGCAAAATTCAATTGTAGCCAATGCAACTACAAAACCAACTTCTACTATCATTATCATAGTCATTGGAAATCAATGCATGAAGACAATTACGACTACCCGTGTACTGAACCCGGCTGTGAATGGGCGTACAAAACACGAACAGGTCTGCAGAAACACATGCGTGATAAGCATTCTAACGAACAAGAGAAAAGCAATATTGTGGACCTGAAACTGTCTTCAGAGAGTCATCCGTGCGGCAAACATTCCACCAGAAAGAGCAGTGTTGAAAAGTACGCAAAAAAACCTGTACTATGCCCAGTCTGCAACCGAAGGTTTCGTTTTCAGAAAGAGCTGATAGATCACTTAATAAAAGACCACGGCCGTCGAACGATATTCAACTGCATCCATTGCAGCTATGCAACTAATAACAGGCAAAGCTATGAAAGGCATAATAAACGATTGCACGAGGACAATTACGACTACATGTGTACTGTGCCCAACTGTAACTGGGAGGGCAAAGTTCAGTATGATCTAACACGACACATGCAACGTGTTCATCATATTAATCAAAAGAAAAGCGGAAGTACGAACGCGGAGCCGTCCTTCGAGAATGACTCAAGAATCAAAGAATCCAGAATAAGGAATAAACAGCAATAAAGAGCCCAAAAATGTGATTAAGGCTTTGATAGAAAGAAAGAGTTGAAACATCATCTCTGAGAGGACCATAGAAGGACTGACTGCAGCGACAGCAATTATACATTTAACAAAAAACAGGACTTGCAATATCACATTGCACGAAAGCACGTGTACAATTACCACTACGTATTTATTAATAAAAGCTGTTACAAGAAATTCAAACTTGAATAGGAACAGAAGAAAAACGTAAAATATAATCATTCGAATGACTCTTAATAATGACGAAAATATAATCATGCTAACTCTAGTTTTTTATAAAAGATACACGGATGTGCAGAAAAATTCAAAAATAGCCTGTACCATCTGTGGTAATATCATACACAGGTAAAGTTTATTTAATCGTTTACTGATGTATGTTGACAGGACAATTACTTGTTCTGTTTGCAATAAGATATTTAGTACGAAGGGCAGAATGCGGAATTCATTCGTTGTATCACGGGCCAACGATCCTACTTCTGCAAGCTTTACGGCATGGCATTTGTCCATTCGCAGTTTTTATGCAGTTATATAGAAAGAGGAAGGAAAAATGTTCGGAGTAACTTCCGATCGAATAATGTTAGTAGATATTGAAGCATTATTGCAAAACTTCTAGATGGACAAGCGATAAACAGGCTGTCGAATTAAGCGTAGAAAAAATATAAAAAAACCGTGATTAAACAGTTTATGCTTCAGCTTCAACACACTCGCTCAAACTTACATCTTGAAACGCACATATGCGCTGATGCGTGCACACACACATAAGATATCCGTGTTTAGAATATATTCGAGAGGGAACTGCTTTGTAGAATTATATTTTTGCCCTTTTTGAATTGTGATTTTGTCCCTAGACATATATTCGCAATAGTTCTACATTTTCTATACTTTCTTATACACGTGCGCAAAATGTTTTATTTATTGTACAATACGTATAACTATACATACAAAAGAAATGGATCTACGTAGTGCAAACCTTGAGCTTAATCGAAACCTAAGCCCATTTCATCGCTTGATTCTTCTTACGGTTCTTTCTTTTTTTCTCTTCCTTGGTTGGTACAAGCTTTTGACTGTTGGCAGATGCTACTACAGCTGGAGGCTCAGCTCCTGCAGGCGCGGCACCAACACCAGATCAAATATCGGTAATCAGTTCTTTAACATCGGTTCCTTCCACAACTTTGGCAACAGCCCTGGCCAGTAAGATTCAACATTAACATTCGCAGCTTTCAAAATAGTTTGTATTTCTTCTCCCGTGCGTGATGTGTGTACACATGAATGTGTGCACATACATGTTCATAATTTTCTGTGTAGACTACAAAAACGAGACATATGGAAGAATTGAAGGATGGCTATATGAGGTACGTCATAGATATATATTATTATTTACGTGCTGAATGAAACATGATATTAAACCTTTTTTATAAAAAGATAAAGAAATACAGTCTGCAAAATAAGAGCGTGTACGGGTTAATGTGTAGAAAAATTTATTTTTAATGATTTTTAAGTACATGTATTTGTTGTACTCCATGAGAAGAAAAATGCTATACCATTAATAATGAGTCCAGTCACCACCGGCTTTGGTAATTGCCTGGAATCTCCGAGGCATACTTTCCACTAAGTTGACTGCGTATTCGTTCGGTAAAGACCTCCAAATGAGACGAATTTTGTCGTGTCAGCTGCTTCAAAGTGCACACTCTTTTTCCTCGAAGCTTGTGCTTGAGATATGCCCACACATTTTCAATGGGATTTGCATCTGGCGACTGCGATGGCCAATCATGTGTGACAATGCCAGACTGCTCTTTCCACTCGACGCAAAGCTTGCTCCGGTGTTTTGGGTCGTTGTCTTCCTGTAAGATCCAGTCCTCGTTTTTTTTATGAAGCATCGTTCAGCAGTCGGCAACAAACACTCCTTATAAATTTTAAGCATTTTCGGAGCATTTAAATTGTATGTAAACAGATGTAATGCTCCAAAAGCCTGTTTCAAAAAGCAGCCCCAAAGATGAACTTTTAAAGGGTGTTTAACAGTCCGTTGTATTAATTTATTGGTCAAGGTTGACCAGGAACGTCGGATGGCAGTATATCCCCAAACAGAAGCTTCGTCCGTAAAGATCACGTTGTTCCAATCTCGATCCAAATTCTCTTTTGCCCAAGCGAGTCTATTCGTCACATCTTTCTCGCCCAATAGTGGTTTTTTCATTGTGCTTCGATGTTTGAGGTTATGCGCAAAGAGATGGGTACGTATAGTTGTATGTGATACTTCTATACCCTTCTGTTTTAATTTTGCTGCTCCTTGTCGCAATGTTAAGGTCGGGTTCCGCTTAAACAAATACACAATTTTTTTTCCATATTCGGCATCACTTTGCCTATCGAGCCACGTTCTGGCAAGTAATCGACATTTTTGATCTTCTTATATGTTATGTACAGATGAATTTGACTGTTCTGGATTCAATATTTCTTTAGTAATGTCCAGGCCCGTCACATGTAGATTGTTGCGAGATATACGCAAAATGTGACGATCACCGAGAGAAAGAGTACAATGAGGTTGGCCGTGTGTTTTCTTATTATAACAAAACCTTCCTGAAGCTTTAAACGCTCTTAAGCAACTTGATCATCGCTGATTTGGAGAAGCCTAACTGCCGGGAGATTTCTCCATGCCTTTGTTTGCGACTCTCTATGATAAATTTTCATTGTCGTTCGTACATCTTCTAAGATACTACTTAACTAATGTTTACAGCTGGGCTGAATTAACGACAAAATACATAACCATAACATATAAACAAAGGTGATCCACGATTTTGGGACAATTAATATAGTGTTTTGAATATCATAATATATGTTGCCAAATTTTCTCATACATTACGAACAAAGTATATATAATAACAGCTACCTGTTGCAAAAATGAATCTAATTTCTTTACTACAAAGAAAGTTATGCTAAAACATCCTAAAAGTGATATATTTTTGGTCGGTACTGTACATAAAATTAAAAATACAACAGTATATAAATATATATAAGTATATAAAAATATGCGATATAAAAAAATATGTAACGACATATAGTATGTATCAAAACATATCACAATATATACAAGGTAGCAATACATAAGACAGTTATATTTCGTTTGATTATTCCGCCTTTGTGAACAACGTAAACAGCTCTTTCCGAAGATTGTCTTCGGATCGTTCTTCGCTCAGACAGCACTTGCTTAACAACTGTGTAAGAGTTTAATTCTTATCATAACCGATCACCGCGCGTAAGTTTATGATTGGTGACTCGCGACGGTTACTTCATATGTTTCCCTCTTGAAGAAAGTGTTCAAACTGTTTCGCAGCCGATTGTAGCTGACGCGACCTTTTCTGTTTGTCTGATATCTCGCTTTTGGATACTGTGAATATCACAGCTACTAATAATTTCAAATAGTCGTTCGTCGATCTTACAAAGTGCACATAAAATCTTTCAGAGGTACTAATAATAAGTCGAATCACGAAGAAAAATAAAGTTGAGCGGTGTAGTTATACAAACAGATTATTGCGCCGAGCAAGTTTTAAAAGTCAAAATCTCCATTAGGAGAGAATCGATAGAAAGAAAACGGAACAACTTTGAAGAGCGATCCGTGCGGCAAACGTTAAAAAAAGGGAGTAGCATAAAAAGTGGATATGTCCTACGAATGTATTTCCTGCGGACAAAGGTTCAGTCAGATGAATTTCACAAAGCACCTCATTGAGGACAAAGAATGTTGGATAAAAGTATGGGACCATGGCAACAATAAAACCAACGATGAGGTAATCTTGTAAAAGTATATTATGCTAAAGCGTAAAGACAATTATACATGTCGCTAGTCCATAGTAAGACTGTAACTTTGTTTATAATGTGCAGAAAAAACTGGAAAGCCATATACGTATTCATTCACAAAAACAAGAAGAAAGTAATATTATAGGCCCGGAACCATTTTTAAGCAGTAACACGTATGGCAAACATTCCAGCACAAGCAGCGGCATTCAAGAGCGCAAAAATATACTTTACGAATATGACGATTACAACCAAAAGTTTTGTACAGAGAATGAGTTGACGAATCACTTAACGCAGAAACACAAAGGTGTAATGCACCAATGCGATCATTGCAACTACGAATTCAACGATGAGGTAAATCTGCAAAAGTGTTAAACATTGTACAAAACGCAAAGACGGTTACATGTGCCCTCAATAAAGCCGTAATTTTCTTTACAATGTGCAGAAACATCTGATGAGCCACATACGATGTGTTCATCCAAACATCCAGGAGGTAACTAATAGTGCGAAGCCGGGGCCTTCTTGGGAGGATGATCAGTGCGGCAAACATTCTAACAGAAATAGTTGCATTGAAAACAATAGGCCTTACGAATGTGATGTGTGTGACCAAAGGTTTCATAAAAGATATGGATTAATATATCACTACAAGAATGCCCACCGACGTTTAATGTACCAATGTGAACATTGCATATACGGAACTAACGATGAAGTAAATCTGCGGAAATATTATACATTGTACCAAAATGCAAAGACCGTTATATGTGTTCTCAGTAAGGATATAACTTTTTTATAATCTGCAGGAAGATATGAAGAGCCACATACGTGATCATTCTAACAACCAAGAAGAAAGCATTATTATAGACCCGGAACCGTCTTTGGAGAATGACCCGGGCGTCAAACATTCCAGGGAAAACAGCTGCATTGAAAACATGCTTCACGAATATGATGTTTGCAACCAAAAGTTCCGCCAAATTAATGAGGTGACGAATCACTTAATGCAGGACCACAAGTATTTAATTCATCAATCTGAATATTGCAACTACCCAACAAACAATGAAATAACTCTGCTAAAATATTATACATTATAGGAAAACGCAACAGTTTTATGTGTTCTCAGTAAGACTATAACTTTCTTTGTAATCTGCAGGAGCATCTGAAGAGCCAGGTACAATGTGTTCATCCTAACATCCAGGAAGAAAATAATAGTGCAGAGCCGGGACCGTCTTGGGAGAGTGTCCCGGGCGTCAAACATTCTAAGACAAACAGCTGCATTGAAAACATGCTTCACGAATATGATGTTTGCAACCAAATGTTCCGTGAAATTAATGAGGTGACGACGAATCACTTAATGAAGGACCACAAATATTTAATGCATCAATCTGAATATTGCAACTACCAAACCAACAATGAAATAACTGCTAAAATATTATACATTATAGGAAAACGCAATGGTTTTATGTGTTCTCAGTAAGACTGTAACTTTCTTTGTAATCTGCAGGAGCATCTGAAGAGCCAGGTACAATGTGTTCATCTTAACATCCAGGAAGAAAATAATAGTGCAGAGCCGGGACCGTCTTGGGAGAGTGTCCCGGGCGTCAAACATTCTAAGACAAACAGCTGCATTGAAAACATGCTTCACGAATATGATGTTTGCAACCAAAAGTTCCGTGAAATTAATGAGGTGACGAATCACTTAATGCAGGACCACAAGTATTTAATTCATCAATCTGAATATTGCAACTACCCAACAAACAATGAAATAACTCTGCTAAAATATTATACATTATAGGAAAACGCAATGGTTTTATGTGTTCTCAGTAAGACTATAACTTTCTTTGTAATCTGCAGGAGCATCTGAAGAGCCAGGTACAATGTGTTCATCCTAACATCCAGGAAGAAAATAATAGTGCAGAGCCGGGACCGTCTTGGGAGAGTGTCCCGGGCGTCAAACATTCTAAGACAAGCAGCTGCATTGAAAACATGCTTCACGAATATGATGTTTGCAACCAAAAGTTCCGTGAAATTAATGAGGTGACGAATCACTTAATGCAGGACCACAAGTATTTAATTCATCAATCTGAATATTGCAACTACCCAACAAACAATGAAACAACTCTGCTAAAATATTATACATTATAGGAAAACGCAATGGTTTTATGTGTTCTCAGTAAGACTATAACTTTCTTTGTAATCTGCAGGAGCATCTGAAGAGCCAGGTACAATGTGTTCATCCTAACATCCAGGAAGAAAATAATAGTGCAGAGCCGGGACCGTCTTGGGAGAGTGTCCCGGGCGTCAAACATTCTAAGACAAACAGCTGCATTGAAAACATGCTTCACGAATATGATGTTTGCAACCAAAAGTTCCGTGAAATTAATGAGGTGACGAATCACTTAATGCAGGACCACAAATATTTAATTCATCAATCTGAATATTGCAACTACCCAACAAACAATGAAATAACTCTGCTAAAATATTATACATTATAGGAAAACATAATGGTTTTATGTGTTCTCAGTAAGACTATAACTTTCTTTGTAATCTGCAGGAGCATCTGAAGAGCCAGGTACAATGTGTTCATCCTAACATCCAGGAAGAAAATAATAGTGCAGAGCCGGGACCGTCTTGGGAGAGTGTCCCGGGCGTCAAACATTCTAAGACAAACAGCTGCATTGAAAACATGCTTCACGAATATGATGTGTGCAACCAAAAGTTCCGTGAAATTAATGAGGTGACGACGAATCACTTAATGCAGGACCACAAATATTTAATGCATCAATCTGAATATTGCAACTACCAAACCAACAATGAAATAATCTTGCTAAAATATTATTCATTATAGGAAAACGCAATGGTTATATGTGTTCTCAGTAAGACTATATATTTCTTTATAACCTGCAGGAGCATGTGGAGAGCCAGTTACAATGTGTTCATCCAAACATCCAGGAAGAAGATAATAGTGCGGAGCCGGGACCGTCTTGGGAGAGTGATACGTATGGCAAACATTCCAGCAGAAACAGCTGCAGTGAAAACAATATGCCTTACGAATGTACTGTTTGCAACCAGAGGTTTTATAGAACGTTAACTTTGACAAATCACTACAAGAATGTCCACCAACGTTTAATGCCCCATTGTGAACATCGCGCCTACGAAACCAATGATGTAGTAACTCTGCAAAAATATTATACATTATACGAAAGCGCAAGAACGATTATATGTGTTCTTAGTAAGAGTACAATTTTGTTTATAATTTACAGAAAAATCTGAAGGACCACGTACGACGCGTTTATCCTAATGTCCAGAAGGAAAGTAATAGTTCAGAGCCGGGACCGTCTCGCGAGAGTGAGCCCTGCGCCAAATATACCAGCATAAATAATAACAAAAAAAAGTACAAATTAGATTGGAAATGTCAAGTTTGTAATCAAGAGCACTCTGGCAACCAAAAGTTGATGCATCACCTAGCAGAAGTCCATGGAATTCAGGCAAAATTCAATTGTAGCCAATGCAACTACAAAACCCACTTCTACTATATTTATCATCGTCATTGGAAAGCAATGCATGAAGACAATTACGACTACCCGTGTACTGAACCCGGCTGTGAACGGGCGTACAAGACACGAACAGGTCTGCAGAAACACATGCGTGATAAGCATTCTAACGAACAAGAGAAAAGCAATATTGTGGACCTGAAACTGTCTTCAGAGAGTCATCCGTGCGGCAAACATTCCACCAGAAATAGCAGTGTTGAAAAGTACGCAAAAAAACCTGTACTATGCCCAGTCTGCAACCGAAGGTTTCGTTTTCAGAAAGAGCTGATAGATCACTTAATAAAAGACACGGCCGTCGAACGATATTCAACTGCATCCATTGCAGCTATGCAACTAATAACAGGCAAAGCTATAAAAAGCATAATAAACGAATGCACGAGGACAATTACGACTACGTGTGTAGTGTGCCCAACTGTAACTGGGAGGGCAAAGTTCAATGTGATCTAACACAACACATGCAACGTGTCATCATAATAATCAAAAGAAAAGCGGAAGTACGAACGCGGAGCCGTCCTTCGAGAATGACTCAAGAATCAAACAATCCAGAATAAGGAATAAACCCAAAAATGTGATTAAGGTTTTGATAGAAAGAAAGAGTTGAAACATCATCTCTGAGAGGACCATAGAAGGACTGACTGCAGCGACTGCAATTACACATCTAACAAAAAACAGGACTTGCAATATCACATTGGACGAAAGCACGTGTACAATTACCACTACGTATTTATTAATAAAAGCTGTTACAAGAAATTCAAACTTGAATAGGAACAGAAGAAAAACGTAAAATATAATCATATGACTCTTAATAATGACGAAAATATAATCATGCTAACTCTAGTTTTTTATAAAAGATACACGGATGTGCAAAAAATTCAAAAATAGCCTGTACCATCTGTGGTAATATCATACACAGGTAAAGTTTATTTAATCGTTTACTGATGTATGTTGACAGGACAATTACTTGTTCTGTTTACAATAAGATATTTAGTACGAAGGGCAGAATGCGGAATTCATTCGTTGTATCACGGGCCAACGATCCTACTTCTGCAAGCTTTACGGCATGGCATTTGTCCATTCGCAGTTTTTACGCAGTTATATGGAAAGAGGGAGAAAAATGTTCGGAATAACTTCCGATCGAATAATGTCAGTAGATATTGAAGCATTATTGCAAAACTTCTAGATGGACAAGCGATAAACAGGCTGTCGAATTAAGCGTATAAAAAGCATAAAAACAGTGGTGAAACAGTTTATGCTTCAGCTTCCACACACTCGCTCAAACTTACATCTTGAAACGCACATATGGCTCATGCGTGCACACGCACATAAGATATCCGCGTTTAGAAAATATTCGAGAGGGAATTTCTTTGTAGAATTATATTTTGCCCTTTTTGAATTGTGGTTTTGTTCCTGGACATATATTCGCAATAGTTCTACATTTTCTATCTTCTTATACACGTGCGCAAAATGTTTTATTTATTGTACAATACGTATAACTATACATACAAAAGGAATGGATCTACTAGTGCAATCCTTGAGCTTAATCGAAACCTAAGCCCATGTCATCGCTTATTCTTCTTCCGGTTCTTTCTTTTTTTCTCTTCCTTGGTTGGTACAGCTTTTGGCTGTTGGCAGGTGCTACTGCAGATGGAGGCTCAGCTCCTGCAGGCGCGGCACCAACACCAGATCAAATATCGGTAATCAGTTCTTTAACATCGGTTCCTTCCAAAACTTTGGCAACAGCTTTGGCCAGTAAGATTCAACATTAACATTCGCAGCTTTCAAAATAGTTTGTATTTCTTCTCCGTGCGTGATGTGTGTACACATGAATGTGTGCACATACATGTTCATAATTTTCTGTGTAGACTACAAAAACGAGACATATGGAAGAATTGAAGGATGGCTATATGAGGTACGTCATAGATATATATTATTATTTATGTGAATGAAACATATATTAAACTTTTTTATAACAAGTAAAGAAATAGAGTCTGCAAAGTAAGAGCTACGGTTAATGTGTAGAAAAATTTATTTTTAATGATTTTTAAGTACATGGATTTGTTGTACTCCATGAAGAAAATGCTATACCATTAATAATGAGTCCAGTCACCACCGGCTTTGGTAATTGCCTGGCATCTCGAGGCATACTTTCCACTAAGTTGACTGCGTATTCGTTCGGTAAAGACCTCCAAATGAGACGAATTTTGTCGTGTCAACTGCTTCAAAGTGCACACTCTTTTTCCTCGAAGCTCGTGCTTGAGATATGCCCACACATTTTCAATGGGATTTGCATGTGGCGACTGCGATGGCCAATCATGTGTGACGATGCCAGACTGCTCTTTCCACTCGGCGCAAAGCTTGCTCCGGTGTTTTGGGTCGTTGTCTTCCTGTAAGGTCCAGTCCTCGTTTTTTTTTTATGAAGCATCGTTCAGCAGTCGGCAACAAACACTTCTTATAAATTTTAAGCATTTTCGGAGCATTTAAATTGTATGTAAACAGATGTAATGCTCCAAAACCCTGTTTCGAAAAGCAGGCCCAAAGATGAACTTTTAAGGGTGTTTAACAGTCCGTTGTATTAATTATTGGTCAAGGTTGACCAGGAGCGTCGGATGGCAGTATATCCCCAAACAGAAGCTCGTCCGTAAAGATCACGTTGCTCCAATCTCGATCCAAATTCTCCTTTGCCCAAGCGAGTTTTCGTCACATTTCTCGCCTAACAGTGGTTTCTTCATTGTGCTTCGATGTTTGAGGTTATGCGCAAGGAGATGGATTCGTATAGTTGTATGTGATACTTCTATACCCTTCTGTTTTAATTTTGCTGCTCCTTGTCGCAATGTTAATGTCGGGTCCGCTTAAACAAATTCACAATTTTTTTTCCATATTCGGCGTCACTTTGCCTATCGAGCCACGTTCTGGCAAGTCATCGACATTTTTGATCTTCTTATATTGCTGAACCACTTAGCGACGAACGATTTTGACTTTCCCATGTATTTAGCAGCCATTGATATGAATTTTTGGTCCTTTGGGTGGGAACAAAGGAACACAGCCTCGTAGCGCGATGCGTATGCGGCACTCATGGCGGTTAACGTGTTTCTAGGTTAGAGTTCGACGCCAACTGAATCTTTTGTGACAAAGCGTTCACGACAAAGATTTCATCTATCGGTTCACAAAATACTAGGACGATATTTCAAGCCAACTGCCATTTATGCCGTACACGCTCTTACTTTACTTTACAGACTGTATGTTATGTACAGATGAATTTGACTGTTCTGGATTCAATATTTCTTTAGTAATGTCCGGGCCCGTCACATGTAGATTGTTGCAAGATGTATGCAAAATGTGACGATCACCGAGAGAAAGAGTACAATGAGGTTGGCCGTGTGTTTTCTTATTATAACAAAACCTTCCTGAAGCTTTAAACGCTCTTAAGCAACTTGATCATCGCTGATTTGGAAAGCCTAACTGCCGGGAGATTTCTCCATGCCCTTGTTTGCGATTCTCTATGAGAAATGTTCATTGTCGTTCGTCCATCTTCTAAGATACTACTAAACTAATGTTTACAGCCGTGCTGAATTAGCGACAAAATATATAAACAGAACATATAAACAAAAGTAGTCCATGGACGTCCACGGACGATTTTGGAACAATCAATGAAATATTTTGAATATCATAATATATGTTGCCAAATTTTCCCATACATTACACTAGAGATGTGCGAACTGTTCGAATTCGAATCGAATCGAATCGAATCTAATGTAATTCGATTCGATTCGAATGTGAATCCTTATGATTCGAATCCGAATAATTCGAAAATTTCGAATCGAAAATTCAATTACGAATCAAATATATTAGCGTGCATTATATTTGCAAGTACAAAACGAGACATCTGGGCCTGTATGTTTGAACCCTTAACTTGTAATTAACTTAACTTATAATTAATAACTTAATTATAAATTACTTTAAATATTTAAATATATATTTTACTTTAAAATGATATTACAATATCAATATCCCCTTTCATATTAAAACCTTCCATCATTATGTACATGTTTAATAGTCATGTTAAATTTTTTAATGATTCGATTCGATTCGAATTCGAATGAAATTTCATAGATTCGATTCGATTCGAATTCGAGTTAAAGAAATTAGATTCGATTCGATTCGATTCGACATAAAAATTCTTGAT